CCTAACTTTCTTGTTACTTCACTGACTGCATGCTTGTTGAAGGTCAGTGATTCAGAATGTATTGAGAACAGAGACATCCAGGAAAGCAGTTTTTTCAGAAGGAGGCATCAATATTTCTCTATGGATCAAACACACATTCTAAATCGTAAAACATATCTAAACCCCCAAAACAATCATTTCTAACACTGCAGCATAGCAATCCTCAGATCTGGTGGCTGCATTTGTTTTCTATTTTATAGACTTTTTCCCATTATTTTCTCCTGGTGATCTGGCCAGTTACACTCTTTCTGGCTTAAGTCGGGTATACACACTTCTATTTTCTTCGTACAGATTTCTCCATCAATGCTTACGAGCGCCGATTCTGCCTGCGGCCGCTGGCTCATTGGCTGCTAGCTCTGTTCGGCCGACAATTTTCTGGCATGCTCCTTCGTTCACCTGATTGAGGGATGCCGGTCGGAAATGTGCCGACAGCGGCACCCACACATGTAATTTCAACTGTTTCATCAAGAACTAGCCGAAATTTGAAGCGTGTATACCTGGCGTTAGGGCGGGTTCACACAATTTTCTGGACCAGATCTGGAATGCAGTGTAATGCGTTTTGCCGCGTTTTTATTGCGTTTTAGCGAGATTTTACTGCGATTTTGCCGTGTTTTTTCTTTCTTTTTTTCTGTTTAGCTTAAAATGTACTTTCAGGTGCGTTCCAGTGCGTTTGTATGCAGTTTTTTATATGTTTTCATGCGTTCCAGTGCAGTCCAGACCAGACAAAATGAGACATGTAGTATTTTTCTGGTCTGGTCTGGTCTGGAACGGACTGCGCTGGTGTGAACAGAGGCCAGAAATAGAAAGTTTTTTTGTTTTAGAAGCGCCAGGGACAATCCTTATCCCTCACAAAGAAGGAAGCTAAGCACATATGCAAGGCGCAGCCCCAATACAGTTAAGGGAACTGGAACATCTGAAAGAAACACAAAAAAGGGGCGCCTTTCCTAGTGCAGTATCGTTTATTCCAAAAGAACAGGCATGAAAGTGGACTGACAGGTACTCACAATACTGAAGTTTAAAACGAGCTGTAGAACAGTAAAACCGGAGCAGTAAAAGAATCCGAATTACGTGTCCTGTGTAAAGCACTGAAGTGTCGACGCGTTTCCGGGGCATGCCCCCTTCGTCAGGACGTCACGCGTTTTCCGGGGCACGCCCCCTTCATCAGGACGTCACGCGTTTTCCGGGGCACGCCCCCTTCATCAGGACGTCACGCGTTTCCGTGCCCCGGAAACCCACAGTATTGTGCGTACCTGTCAGTCCACTTTCATGCCTGTTCTTTTGGAATAAACGATACTGCACTAGGAAAGGCGCCCCTTTTTTGTGTTTCTTTCAGAGGCCAGAAATAGCATAGGCAGGGCTTGAAAAATCCACTCGTCCGCTCATCTGTGACGAGAGGACAGCGGAGCACGACAAGCAGCTTACCGGCCGGCCGTTGTAATTACACGGCCGGCTGGGAGCTTTATAATCAAGCAAAAAAGCGCCTGAAGGCGCCCGATCCCTTGTATTACCAACAGCTGTCACTGCCGTTGCCGGTGATGTATACTCTGCTTCATCAGTTTCTCTGGGGATCCCTAGGTGACATTAGGGGTCTTGGAGACCCCTGATGTCTTCATAAAGAGGGCCTGTCATGTAATTTGGCTATCACATAGGGGGATTCTTAGCCCCCCCCATCACAAAAAAAATAATACGAAAGAATCATAAAGAAGCATTAAAGAAATTCAAAAAGAAAATAAAAAATTTTTTTAAGTCCTCCGCCCCCCACATACACATGCAGATATGCGTTGGGTGTGCCTACGTGCGAAAACAACGATTGCGCCTATTGTGCCGTTACATATAACCGCGAACGTCGGAGTGTGAGCAATCATTTTAGGGCCATTAATTACTGATAACACTAAACTGATGAGCGGTAAAAGCCTTTTAAGCTTTCGCCTATGGCCAATTTTCAGTGTGGTCGTTTTTTGTGATTTTGCTGGCGCACGCAATTTTAAGACTTGACATGCTTGGTGTCAAAAATATGGGTAAGAACAGATGTTTTATAACATAACGTAGGGAAACTTTGTTTTTTTTTAAATCTACTGTACCTTTTTCATTATATAGTAAAAAATAACCCCAGTGGTGATTTTATATACCACCATAAGAAAATTCTATCTGTCCCCAAAAAATGTTAACATAAATTGCAAGGCTATAGACTGGTCATGCTGACTGGTGACATTACTGACTGACTGGTGAGACACCCTAAAATGTTTCAAGCCCTGAGCATAGGGATACATTAGGATGCATTTTGGGTCCTGAAACAATCTGGTCTGGAGATGACCTGGATGTGGTGTGAATGGTGCCAGAAGTGGTCTTCATGGAAAAATTGTGGCCAAAAATCCATGCCTCCAACATGGAAACAAGGCTAAGCGACTTAACTATGGCAGCATGTGCTCTGGACTGGTGGATCAAAATGTGAAATATTTGGCAGTTTGTTGGCCGAAGGGCTGGAGAGCTATACAATTATGAGTGTCTGCAGCTACAGTGAAGCATGGTGGAGGCTCCTTGCAAGTCTGGGGCTGCATTTCTGCCAATGGAGATGAAGATTTGGTCAGGATCAATGGTGTCCTCAATGCTGAGAAATACAAGCAGATACTTATTCATTATGCCATACCATCAGGGAGGCCTGTGATTGGCCCCAAATGTATTCTGTAGCAGGACAATGACCGTAAACATACAGCGAATGTCATTAAGAACTATCTTCAGCGTAAAGAGGAACAAGGAGTCCTGGAAGTGATGGTTTGGCCCCCACAGAGCCCTGATCTCAACATCATCCAGTCTGCGTGGGATTACATGAAGAGACAGAAGGATTTGAGGCAGCCAAAACCACTGATCTGTGGTTAGTTCTCCAACATGTTTAGAACAACCTACCTGCAGAGTTCCATCAAAAACTACGTGCAAGTGTGCCTAGAATAATTGATGCTGTTTTGAAGGCAAAGGGAGGTCACACCAAATATTGATTTGATTAGAATTTCTCTTGGTAATTAATTTGGTGATTATTAAAAATAAACTATTAGCACTTTTATTTCTGAAAACATTCTTACTTTACATCAATTTTCACAGCTGTCTAATACTTTTGCACAGTACTGTATTCCTTTACATTTTTGTCCAAATACTTACAATCATCATGTTTCACAAGAGCTACAACTCTCTCAGCTCAGTTTCCCTGAACTTCCTGTCCAGTACGAGATTAAAGGGGACAGCACAATCCCCAGCAGCTATCCATCTACTAGCTTAAAGAAGAGAGGAGGTGGGAGCAAGCATCAGGGGATAAGCTTGCCTTACTGTGCCTGTGTGGTTGTGGAGACACACACAGCTTACTAGCACACACAAGGGTGGCTCCATAGGACCATGTAAGGGAAAGGAGCCACCCCAAACAGGATATCAGAGCCAGTGTTCAGCTGATTCTGCAGGAAACTAAAACGTTTAACCATTAAGGAACAGCATCTGTTTTAATTGATTCAATCAACATTTGAATTGCTAAAAACCCTTTTGACTTCAATATAACTTTAAAACCCAACTCCAGCGAAAATTAAAAGTTTTCCCATGCAGTGGGCCTGCCCCCACATTGCAAAGGTAACTTCTTGTATATGTTTGGGGACAGGAAAAAGCTGTTTAAAGCTTGCCATACACCTATAGATTATCTGCAGAGTTTCTATGGTCAGATAGAAAAAGTGCAACAGATTCCTCCATCTACGTTACACTGTGTGGATGGCGGAATCTCCCACTGGGCCAAGCTTCAGTATCTTGCTAGTCGGCCCCACTGGCTGTCAAAATAACTGAACAATCTGATTGGATGCAGGCATTGTTCAGGTATTTTGAGAGCCAGCGGGGCCGACTAACAAGATACTGAAGCTTGGCTAAGTGGGAGATTCCCTTATCAGCACAGTTTAGCGTAGATGGAGGAATCTGTTGCACTTTTTCCATCTGACCATAGAAACTCTGCAGACAATCTATAGGTGTATGGCCAGCTTAACTTACCTGATCCCCGCTACTCTGTAAGTCTCAGTTCTCCTATCCTCCCCCTCCATTCCAGTTGTGCACTGTCCCTCACGTACAATGCAGGTGTATGGAGCCTGCACTGTAGTTGATGACGTCAGTGGTCCCTAAACCGGTGCAGTGGAGGGAAGAAGAGGCTATGGGCATCCCTATAATGAGGCAGTTGCCTCAGGCAGCATCTCATTGGAAGGTGGTCGGGTGGTGGTGGTTGCTGAGAGCTCTAGCAACTGATGACGCCAGTGAGCTGGGCAGGATGCCGGACAGAGCCACTAACAGAGTGGTCTGGTGTCTGGGCATCTACCCCCTAACAACAACTCAGCACAGCAAGCAAGTAAGCACTCCCTGCCAGCACCCACGACCGCCCCCCACCCCGAAACAAGTGCGCATCACCTCAGGTGGCAAATGCCTTGGGGACATGCCCTGGCTATGGGGACTGGTCTATCACCCTGGAGGGAGCTGGTGGAAAAGGAGGATCAAGAATGTAAATGGGCATAGGCATAAACCAGCAGTTAACACTTGCAGTACAGGGGCAGCCCCACTGCGATGGAAAACGTATCTCCCCCAGAGTTGGGCTTTAAGCTCGTCATACACTGATAGACTTTAGTAGGAACGTTTTTACAAAAACTTTCATCAAAACATTTTAATAATGAGGAATGTCGTTCAAAATCTCATTTCATTTCAACAATTTTAGAAAGAATGGAGTTTCCCAAAGAAAACCAGATGCACTTCGAAAGAAACATTTTCCTTTGATTTTCTGACCCCATGATTAACTATTAGAAAATACAACCAGTGTTCAGAAAACCCATTTTTTTGAACATCATTCCTCTGGTGTATGGCCAGCTTTAGGCTTTCAGGTACAAAGCCAAAGGAACAATGGTTGGTTTAGGACAGAAAGCTAAGATTGGAGGGTAGAATAGGGGGCACAGTACCTGGATAGTGTGTGATGACAGCACTGGTCCTCCCACCAGTTTACAGTACAGATCCATCCTAGACTGGGGCACCTCTCCTTCTCTCCCAGAGCTGATCTCCTCTCCACAGGTAGCAGTTGCCCTGATTTTGGCCCCTTCTGCCAAGTTGAAGTATGGAGGGTGAAGACTGAATCCAGTGGCCGCACCTGCAGAGTTCTGACCGCATACCATGTGCAGCACGGAAAACAAAACCACAAATGCCAACAGATCTCCTTTCCCCATAGAACTGGCAGGACTCAGAAAGCCAAGGATGCCCCATGGGCACAGCACGATTCCGGTCCTCAGCCCCATATTCATGAAGCGCTGGCCCTCCTAGATTGCTGCAGATTCCCTCCAGATCGTGCGATCCATCCACTCTGCCTCCTCTGTGGATCCAGCGCCACTGTCAGAGACTGAAAACAAAGCTGCAGCAGCAGGCAGCTCCTGGCCGCCTTCCGATGTCAGAGACTACAGATGACACACCTCCCCGATCACAGACCTGACCCGGTCACCTCCGATCACTCCTCAAAAGAAGCACAACACAATCCTTCTATGAGATCATCGCTGGGGAGATCACAGAGCGATCCCCATGTCGATGATGTGATCCTATCATTCTTCAAGTGTCATGACTCTGATCGTGCACCTTATTTATATTATGAAAGAAGCATACTAGGAAATCTCTGCGATCCAGGCTGTGATGCTTGATTATTTTTCCTCTGAGATTTGCACAATCCATTGACTGCACTCACACGAAGAAAAGTCACCCCAGACTGGAAACATTGTAGCAGCTACAGGTTCCCATCATGTATACCAATATGGAAGGATACACATTGTTTGGTGTTGTTTCCGGGACTCTTAAAGTAATAATAAACTCTCAAACTTGTTTTCCATCAAGAATCCATATCTAACAAATGCACATTGTCCTGCAAAGTATTTCTTTACATTTTTGCCCAAACACTTACAGTCATCATGTTTCTGAACAGCTCCAACTCTCTCAGCTCCACTTTAGGGCTGGTGCAGACCTGGGCGATCTGAGACGCGAGTCACGGGGCCGCGCGATCCTGGACAATTGCACACAGCCATTGCCGCACGGCCCCATTGTTTTCAGTGGGGTTACATCCGTGTGGCAAATGCAGAAAAAAGGTACATGTACCTTTTTTTGTGACACATGATGCGCAGCTGTTTTAGCCGCGATCGTGTTCGGTTGCACGGGCGGAATCATGGCGGGAAATCACACAATCTGCCCGTCGCAACTGAGGTACCATTAGAAAATAATGGCACAGCCTGCACGATCGGCAATGGTGGGCGACTCCATGACTGCACGGTAATCCGGAGCGGTATCGTCCATAATTGCCGCGCAGTAACGGATCGCCCAGGTGTGAACCTAGCCTCACTGGTTTACATCTACTTTAAGAAGCAAAGGTACACATAGTGAGTTTGTTAATGTACTTAAGGCACTCAAAGGTTAATAAAGTACAGCCCTAGGGAAAAAAGTCTGTATTGTTAAGAGCTGGCTCTTTCTGCTGGATTTTATTACATACTTTCCTAAATCCTGTACATTTTCTAGAAGAGTATTTCCTGTTTCCTTCTGTGCTGTGGGCTGGTGCCATGTGCAATGTTTCACTCCTCCACTGTACCTCCATCACCCCCTTCTTCTGTGCTGTGGACTGTGTGCTTTCATATCCACTATTCCTCTCCTCCATAGAATGTTGATAGGTTGGTCTGATAAGAATGATCCTTCATGAATCCATGCTGGTTATTACTTGTGATATCAGTACCTTACCATACCTTCCAATACAATGCATACTATTGATGTTAGGCTGTCTGCTCTGTAGTTACCTGGTGCACATCTCGACCCCTTTCTGAATATATGTATCACATTTGCTTTTTGACACTTAGTTGGTACCATTTCAGTCATAAAGTAATCATTCTAGGATGGAATCTGAATAACAAGACCATTGTTTACATTTGTGCGATGTGTTAATGTGCATTATGTTGCGTGTTAACATGTGTTGCGTTAAAGTGGTAGTAGACTGCCAAACTGGTGTTTGCCATAATGTTCAAGTATGCACAAAATATTAGCACATTATGGCATACTTACCTTGCAGATGACCCACTCTAGCCATAGGGACTATTAACATAGGAGTGGAGCTCCCGCTCCAGATCCGCCCCTGCAAGTAGGCCTGGATTGCGGCCGAGCTGACCCGAATCGTGGCTGGGCCGAGTTGACACGAACTGCGGCCGGGCCGAGTCGTGGCCGGGCCGACCCCAAACATGGATGGCCCGAGGGTAATCTGGGCCGGCCACGACCATGCAGCCATGGCCCTCTATTCAGGTATATCAGAGGGTCCTTTAAAGTGCTTGAGCAGAGAGCCGCATCTACTGCAGTTGCAGTCGCCAGTCTCTCTGACCCCCCTGGAGCCCCCACTGACCCCCATGGAGCCTGCACTGACCCCCCTGGAGCCCGCACAGACCCCCCGAAGCCCACACTGACCTCCCGGAGTACGCACTGACCTCCCAGAGCCCGCACTGCCCCCCTGGAGCCTACACTGACCACCTGGATCCCTCACTGACTGCCTGAGAGCCCGCATTGAGCGCCTGGAGCCCGCAGTGCCCACCTGGACCCCTCGCCACGAACCCGGAGCAACACAGAGTATGTAGCTTCATATTATTCTGCATTGCTGTATAAAGTATTGCTATGATTAATTTTGCTCTATAGCTGATGGTATTATTCTTCAGTGCTTTACATTGTATTGCTGGGATTTGTAGTCCTCTATTGCTGGTATTATTCTGCATTGCTGTATAATATATTGCTGGGTGTTGTAGTCCTCTATAGCTGGTGCCATTCTGTATTGCTTCATAATGTATTGCTGGGATTTGTATCCTGTACTAGTTGGTGGTATTCTGCGTTTCTCTGCAATGCATTACTGGGATTTGTAATCCTCTATAGTTAGTGGTAATATTCTTCATTGCTGTACAATTTATTGCTGGGTTTTTTAGTCCTCTATAGCAGGTGATATTCTGAATTGCTGTGTAATGTATTACTGGGATTTGCAGTCCTCTATAGTTGGTGGTATTCTGCATTGCTCTATACATCTTTGCTAAGATTTCTAGTCTCTACAGCTTGGAGTCTCTACAGCTTGGAGTGGCAGATCTACCAAGGTCACAGCTGCAACCAGGCCCTGGCACTCCACCACTGACTGCAAGCTGTAGGGAAATTACAAATCGCAGCCCAGACAGGAGGAAGAGGGCTGTTTATTAATCCTGTATAATAATAATAATAATAATAATAATAATAATAATAAATTGACCCTGACATGTAAACTTTAGATTGGATTGGTCAACTTTAGATTGGATTGGAAATGACAGATCAAATGATAAAATTATAAAAATTGTTAACTACACATTTCACCTTAAAATATAGAAATGAATAGGAGATTTCCTGATTTGCCTAATTCTTCTATTCAATGTAAAAAAAAGCAATAAAAAACATTCAAAGACATTCCATACAGAAAAATTGGATTATAATTTGTGTGTGTGACTGCTCCAGATTATGTGTAGTAGTGGATACATATCATTTCAGGTTAATATGATTTCTAATGTAAATATGATTTCATTTTAATACATCATAATGAGATGAGGTCTCTTTTAAAAGAAAAAAACTTTTTCCAGCCAGACAAGGAGGATGCAGATGAGGATGGCAATGAAAGATTTCCATCAGTGCAGTAGCTGATTTTATATAACAAGGCTGGTTTATTTTAGCCAAAGAAAAATAGGAGATAACAGCCTCAGCCCTCGCTCTCAGAGCTGCCTCGGCACGGCGCAGATCCGGAGACAGGATGAACCCACCTTTTACCAGGCAGCTTTCTCTTATCTCCGTCAGTTCTTTCCTGTTATGGGATCTAAAATGTCATTGAAAAGGCACCATTCCCTATTAATATGTAAGATATCCAAATTCCAAAAGTAGCTTTCTGTAAATGACAGCAAAATGAAGCTAAGGTTGTTTTGATCGATATGACTGCAAAGGAAGCACAATTAGAACTCTTAACCCTTTTGCTGCCAGAGATATTTTTGCGTTATTTTTGCTTACATGGTAAAATGCAAATTTTAGGCCTGAAAATTGCTTAAAGGAGAACTATGAGGTGACTGCTTTTCACTCACCTCATAGTTCTAGCCGACCTGTGACAATGAGACTGTCACAGGTCGGCTTAGTAGATCGGGAGGTGGGCGAACACATACCGGTGTTTCGCTCACCTCTCGATCCTGTCACAGCTTTCTGCCGTGACAGGGGAGGGGCTGGATTCCCCCCTCCCCGCTCCAATCCGCTAGCGCTGACTGGCGGAACGGACGGGGGAGGTGGCGGGTACAGCTGGCTCTGCCTCTAGATAGGCAGAGCCAGCTGTCAGTCACGCAGCTGGGCGGATCCCGGCACAATTGTCTGGATCCGCTTCAGCTGCGGCATCTCAGTATACCGCGAGCAGTAGCTCGCGGTATACTGCGGCGTCTCGGTATGCGGCGTCTCAGCTCACGGTATACTGAGCCTAGGGTGACGGGAGGACGCTAGTTTGTGTCTCCCGTTACCCGAAGGAGAACTATGGGGAAAAGCCTTAACCCCATAGTTCTCCTTTAATACCCCTTAAAATTATATATTTTCTAAAAGCAAAGGCTCTGGAGAAAATTTTTTTGTCAGTTGCAATTTTTATATGTCACACAGTATTAGCGCAACAGTTTATCATACCCAAATTTTCAGTAAAAAATGTATTCAAACTAATTTGGTGCACACAAACATGATATAAAAGCCAATTTTTAGGTAAAATATAAAAGATGAGGTTGCGCTGAGTAAACAGATACCAAACATGTCAAGCTTCAAAATTGTGTGCACCCGTAAAACGGCAAAAAACTTTTAATAGCAGGTCATCAATTTAGAGTTAACCATGAATAATTGCACTTGAATTATTGCTTTCACTCAGTATGTGTGGCGCAATCATCACTTTCATATGCACACCCAACGTATGCATTTATGTTTGCATGTGCATGTATGCAAGGACAGGCAGGCTTTAAAAATTCTTTGATTTTTTTTCTTTTTATTTAATTTAATTATTTTTTTAACACTTAACTTTATTGCTATCACATAGGGATTATGATCCTTCATCCCTGGTTCAGCATGCATTCCAGGGTGGAATGGATGGCCGTTGTGCCATAGCCCATAGGCCATTTGCTTCTTGCTATTTCCGGCCTGGCACCTA